GGAAAAAATGGAAAAAAAAGACAAAAGAAAAGAGTTTTTTTTTGTACTTATGGATTTCTCCCCTGAAAATGTGGCTTTTGAACCATTCCCATGTTAATGTGGAGGTTTACGGTTGTCTAGATTAAAGCCAGTAAAATGTGACCGGTTTGTGGCCAGGTTTGGAGGAAAGATGTTTAATTTCACTGCCTTTTTATCTTATGTGTATTTTGGTACTTATTGTGTTGTTGTGTATGCCTTTTTTATTTAAAAGTTATTTTAAATGTATTGCTTTAGGTTATGGGGAGTGATAACAGATGATTTCTCTTTCTGCTCCCTATTATTCAGGAGTTTAGAATGTTTGTTTTTATTGTAAATGGCCTGTACTTATATAACACTTTTTCAAGTCAGAGTACTTGACCAGAGCACTTTACATTACATTCAGTCATTCACTCACACACTGATGGTGCTAAACTACATTAAAGCCAAAGCTGCCCTGGGGCTCACTGACTGAAGCAAGGCTGCCATACAAATGTGCCACCAGTAGGCAACGCAGGTGAAGTGTCTTGCCCAAGGACACAACAATAGTGAAAGTGGGAACCGGGGCTTGAACTCTCAACCCTCCGGTTGACGGGAAAACTGTCACTGAGCAGCTCATTATGTTTAATGTTTTGTTTAAACACAATGAATGAAAAACATTCAATAACTGAATCAATAAATAAATGTTTAACAGATATGCCTCCATAGATGCAGCTAGTATCAGTGAAAAAGATAGAATGGAGAAATGCTTGGTCATATAACTACTGTATTTATCTTAAAAAAAAGTGGATGTGCTGGTTTAGATGTACTGGTTTGGCCTGAGAAAACATTTTGAATTAGTTACAAAATATAGAACAAAAAGTATAAAGAGAGAAGTATAAAAAAAAATCAGGAGTTATAATGGGGCTTTTTTAAGAGTGATCATTAAGAAAAGAGAAAAATAATTGTCAAAATGTAGAGTGAGACTTTATTAGATTGGACTTAGACAACTTTTATTGTAATTTTGTATACATAGATTGTATTCAAAATTCTATTTAGTTTAGTAAAACTAAACTAGGCAGTAAATGAACATTTCCACTGCATAAAGTGCAGCACTGATCAAACGTAAAAAGTGTGGTGCAAAAACCGCATAGATATGGAAGTTCAGAGCATTAATAAATATGGTGCAAATTTGCATTATTTTTGGTTTGGTGTTGTAAGTGTGATGCAGAGTCTGTGACTTAATTTAGAGTTTTTTTCAACAGTTTAGAACACGCATCCCCAAACTCGGTCCTCGAGGGCCGCTGTCCTGCAGGTTTTAAGGGTTTCCTTGCTTTAGCACAGCTGATTATCATGAATGCAGTAGAGCAGAAGCCTGTTAATCAGCTTTCAATTAAAATCAGCTGTGCTGGAGCAAGGAAATCTCTAAAACCTGCAGGACAGCGGCCCTCCAGGACCAAGTTTGGGGATGCCTGGTTTAGAAGTTTGATGGCAGCGGGGAAGAAGGTGTTGCAGAATCTACTGGACCTGGATTGAACACTGCAAAGCCTCTTCCCAGAGGGCAGCTGGGAGAACAGTCCATGGTGGGGGTGTGAGGGGTCATTGATGATGTTACTGGCTCGGGACACGCAACGCTGGGATGAAATGTCTTTAATGGAGGGAAGAGGAGCCCCCATGATCTTCTCTGCTGTTCTCAACACTCTCCTCACCTTCTTCCAGTCTGAGGCGCTGCAGCCTCCACAGCACACAGTGAGACAGCTGATCAGAACGCTCTCTATGGAGCTTCTGTAGAAGGTGGTGAGGATGGGTGGGGGCAGGTATGCTCTCCTCATCCTCAACAGGAAGTACAAGCGCTTCTGTGCCCTTTTGACCAGTGAGGTGGTGTTTACATTCCAGGTGAGGGTGTCTGTGATGTGCACCCCCAGGAATTTGGTGCTGTTGATCACCTCTACATCTGAGCTGTTGATGACCAGTGGAGCGTGGTTAGGACGTTTTTTTCTGAATAGGACTATGATCTCCTTCAGCTTCTCCACATTCAGGATCAGGCTGTTATCTCTCCACCAGCTGCTCCACCTCCTCTCTCTAGTCCAGGTCGTAGTCATCTCTGATGAGACCCACCACCGTGTTGTCCTCTGCAAACTTAACAAGCTGATTGGTGGTGAACCTGGGGACACAGTCGTGTGTCATCAGGGTGAACAGCAGGGGGTTCAGGACGCAGCCCTGAGGGCAGCCTGTGCTTAGGTTGATGACATCAGAGGTGTTCTGTCCGACCCGGACTGACTGAGGTCTGTTGATGAGGAAGACTAGCAGCCAGAGGGATGTTTTGAATCCCAGCTGTTTCAGTTTTCCTTTAGATGCTTTGGGATGATGGTGTTGAAAGCTGAACTGAAGTCCAGGAACAGCCTCCGCACACGGGTGTTCTTCTCCTCCAGGTGTGGCAGGCTCAGGTGAAGAGCAGAGGAATTCATATCCTCGGTGGAGCGTCGGTCGAATGTTGGGGGGAGACTGGAGACAATGTTCTTTAACCCGCTTTTCGAAGCACGTAATGTCTGTATTTATGTAAACATTGTAAAAGTACTTTTTTAAATGGATCATATTTACACCAATTTAGCTCCTATAAACTAGAGCATAATTCATTTAACAGCAGGTTCCTAATTATCCCTAATTAGTCTACTTTGAAGTCTTACTGCTGTTTATTTTACAGAGAGAACTGCTGATTCTTGTTTTTTTTTAATAATATCGTCCTTTAAAGGAGTTGCTGAAGCATCCGGTAGGTTTCCTGTTGAAAGGGGACCAGTTAGAGTTCGAAGGTAGCGATGCATCTTACTGCAGAACTTCCCTTCGAAGGATCAGCAATTTAAAAACAGTAAAATCTCCCATATCTAATAGAGTTAACCACCCTGCTGCAACTGGACTTAAAAAGACTCAGGATTGTGAGCCTGCATCAGGATAAAGACTCACTCAGAGGCTAAATGCAGCTCTGTGATTGATCAAACAACTTCTTCCACTTGACTGGATATGCAAACAAATGAACTGCTTTTTTCTCCCATCTTGTTTTTAATCTTTATGTTTGAAGCTACACTCTGCCCTCCTGAATCCACAAGTGTTTGCCCCAGTGAGCCGATCTGAATCCCGTAGAGCAGAGACTCGGGGAGATTCCCTCTCTTTCTGCTCACCTAATGGCACATCAGGAGCACGTCAGCGGGCGCTGCACTGCAGCAGCATATTTAACTAGGCTGCATGGGTTGTGTTCTCTAAAGCATTTAGTTAAAAAGAAAATAAAAAAACAACAACACACACATACTGCAGCCCTCCCCCACTGTTTCCCATATATCATTAGTGTAATGCTCCCATTCCCCCCAAGCTGCTGAGATATGAGGAGATTCTAACGCACTGGCAGGAGGGAGGAGTGGCAGAATGAGTCACACACAGGCGAGCGACCATCTATTTTATAGCTTTTATGGGTTTATTTATGGAAGATAGTGATGCGGAAAAAAACATTCTTATTTTGCATTTGGAAAAAAGAGTTAAAGACACTTTATGCCACATAATGAATAACCATAGAAACTGTATGTCGCAATAAAGCATTGTGAGGGTTGGCTCCATGTTACATAAATGTAAATTAATAATCAGATGTTTTACCAATGACAGAAAAAACCCGAAAACATGTAGCATTTCTTTAATGGTCCTTTTATAATTGGATTTGATTAGTGTCTCTGTCTAAATGATTTATTAAAGAAAATAAAAATGTACATGAAAACATGGATGGAAAGCTTGGATGACATTTTCTTTTCAGAATTGGGGGGACGCAAGTATTTTTTTAATGTCAGTTTGACCATCCAATCTCAAACTCAGTTTAGTGGCGCATCAGATGTTTGTAAATCTCAGGAGTGACGGCGGTGACATCAGGAGCTTTTGGCGGTCAAAACTCAAGGAAACGGGCTTCAGCTTGAGCTGCCATTCTCCGCTTGGTCCTAGTGCTAAACGAATGTGTAATGTATCATAACATTATTTTTGGACAGTAAAATGTGCAGGGGATCAAAACGGACGTTTGAAAAAGTGCAAGGGATGTGTCCCACATGTCCCACCCCAGAATTACGTCCATGATGGAAAGCAAGTCACTAAACACAGTTCCAGCCCCCCCATATTACCAGGGAGCATGCACACAATTTTTCTTCTCAGTGCATTCTTGTCATCACACTGTCACAAGTACAGAGCAACGAAATGAACTCTCTGCATTTAGCCCATCACCTTGTGGAGCAGTGGGCTGCCATTGTGTGGCGCCCGAGGAGTAGTGTGGGGTTAAGAGTCTTTGATGAGGACCCAAAGTGGCAGTCTGTGGGAGTGGGGCTTGAACTCAGAACCTCTGGATTCCAAGCTCTATGCCCTTATCTCTAGGCTACCACTCCCCCCCCAAATGGGTTTTTAATGGTCTACTCAAAAATATTTTTTGATTTATCAGTCATAATGAACAAATTCTCTACAAAAAAAAAGATGAAATCCAACAAATTACAAAGTAGAACCCAAAGGAAAAACACATATGGGGGGAAAACAGGAGCTGTATTGAGCTTCCCTCACATTAAAGTATAAAAAGATCTAAAAAGACAAGAAAAAGTATAAAAGAAGGAAAAGTAAACCCCACAGTAAGGAAGTGGTGTGGTTTCGGGTTGTATCAATATAGTGGTTCCTGTTTCAGCATCTTTAGCAGCGATGGACGTTAGGTTCTCATTGTTATTCTGTCCTGTGTCCTTTAAACTATTGGCTCAGACAAATGAACAGTAATTCAGGCTGATAGGAATTGATCTGGTTGAATTTTCTCTGTAAAGCGCCTTGAGATGCCATGTGTTTTGAATTTGCGGTATATAAATAAACTGAATTGAATTGATTGAGGTCAAGGGGAACAAGCTTTTCAAGCCTCCAGAGCAACTGTCATCTGGGATGTTTGTTTAAATTAAAATGTTTGCAGTTAAGCTACAGAAAGAGTCTGTTTTGTTGTGATCCTGCAGGCTGGATGAGACATCATGTCCTCGGCTGAGAGTGAGGATTTATCAGGCTACCATTTGAGTGGTAAGTAGACTTCACACAGTTTATGCTTGCTGTATTTCTGTGCACGGATACATTTCTGTGGAACGTCTTTAACTTGTCCACGTGATCCAAGAATCAAACATGACGTTTTGTCAGTTTTCACAGTTGAGTCTCGGCCTCATTTTTCTTTCCACACAAGCTCTGCTAGTGCACACACACACGCATTTAATTTGCTGCGACACTTTAATTACCTGCCAAACCTTGTTGGATATTTGCCTCTAAATATTTGATTTATTTCGACTTTATGTCTTCTGGCTGTTCCTGCATTCACCCACTCCCCCTATCAGAGGCACCACCTGAAACTGTGGATCTGGACAAAGAAACGTTCATGGTTTATCTTCAGTCCTCCATCTCGTCCGTTCTGAGGCCTCTGTAGATCCGAGCAGCTTTAAGATGCGTTTTGTTTTTCTCTGTGTTTCAGTTGTGCGTAACCCACCTGGCTGGGAGGTTGGGATCTACCTGGTGGGCTTCCTGGTGCTGCTCGTCGCTGCAGGACTAAACATCTGGAAGCTTTGGAAATCTGGAGCCTTCCCCGCACCTTCGCCCTTCCCCAATTTTGATTACAGATATCTGCAAGAAAAATATGGAACCTCCTTCTCAGAAGTCAGGCAAAAGGTAACGTCTATTTAACCTTCCCTTACCCTAACCTTTCCTTTCATGATCAGCAATCCTGACCTTTGACATGTGAATCAATGTATGTCGAATGTATTTCTCTGCAAAAATCGGAGCTAACTATTCAAGACTAATTTTATATAAGCTGCAAAATATAACTGCCTTATTAAATGCTCCACACGTCCTGCAGCAGCCCATCATATTCTAGATGCTGCAATGTCCATTTTCTTCACACTAACAAATATTTTCTTTTAGCTTCTAATCCTCTGATGAGTCTTCAGTAAAATTATGACTCAGAATAACTGTAACATGCTTACCGCCTCTTTTCATATTACTCATCCATGAGTATAGGATTTTTCAGCATGCTTCAAAGTAAATATATGTAGATAAAGCCTAAATAGAATGTAGATTCAAAAGTAATGAAGCCATAAGCTTGACGTGCTTTCCCCTCTGTAATCCGATTGATAATAAAAAACAAAAAAAACAAACGGGATCCTCTCCGTTAGGTTCAACCATTTACTTTAAAAAAAACTTCCATAAAAAATGAATTAATAAAAGAAGATCTGAAGAAAATAAATGAGGTCAGAAAACTGTGTGGCTCCACTCCAGTTACCTGACTAACACTGAAGCGGAAGCCACTCCTCTCAATATCCAGAAACAAACCCTGCACATTTCCAAAAGAACCTCAGTACAATTAGAAATATTGAAAATCCTTACACATGAGAACCTTTTACTTTCTGATTTTACTGTAACTTATTAATGGCTTCCTTTTATCTTAACCTAAACTGAATTCAGGCCCCTACATAGAAGGTTTATCATCTTCAGAATTGTAGGGGTTTTCTTTGAATGCCATTTTAATGTTGAGTGTGTATGCCGGTTAGGCGTCTAAAGTCTCTTTTCCATTGTCAGAGAAATCAGCGTGAGAGGTGAAAAACATTTAACTCTTCTTGAAAAACAAAGATTCATCAGCTCAACAATATGGCTGTCCAGCTTTAATGATTATCTCCTTTTCTTTTCTCCCCAAAGAGAGTTGCAGCCAACAACCACCGGCGCACCTCCACCACCTCCAGTCGTAAACCCAGCCTGGCCCTGGGTGACACCCCCGATGCATTCAGGGAGTTGGGCCACCTGGAGCTGATGAGCAGGGAGCTGGACCCAACAGGCGGGGCTCAGATCAACCGTTCCATCTCCACGGACTCGCTCAGCTCTATCTCCTCCATCGCAAACAACTTTGGCCATGACTTCACCGTCGGTCAGCTGGAAGTGACCCTGGAGTACGATGCACATCGGCAGCTGCTTCATATCACCCTGCACCAGGGAAAAGACCTCCTAGAGAAAGAGGAAGGAGACTTCCCTGGATGCTTCATCAGAGTTTCGCTGGGGCCAGAGGAGCTTCATGTGGGCGTTACAAGGGTAAGCTTTGTTATCCTGCTTTTGGATTGCATCATTAGACTCAGTCACCTTCCTTAAACAGTGTTTTATGGATTACATTAAAGTGAAATTCAACTCCTGCAAAGATAATTGCATCAAAAGGTTAGACTGGACTGTTACCAGCACTAAACATGCTACACTTGCTGGTTTTTCTAGACCGGGGGTCTGAAACTTGTTGCTTCTTGCACCCTCTACAACAGCTTTTAATAGTGCTAAAAATGATATAAAGAACTAACTAATGCTCCATATTAACAAATATCAGTCTTAAAAGCTTTTTATAAAGAAGATTTCCATTGAACTTTCACAACAAAATGACATTAGAAGCACCAGAAACATGTTTTTAGATCTTTTTTTCTTTTTTATTAACATCAAAAAGATTTATTAAAATTCATTTCTTTTACATAAAATTATACCATATGAATGAAAATCCATGTTTCATCTTCATTAATTGTTTGATGTTTCCCCTTATTTTAATAACTCAAATAAATAATAAACTACTGGTTGTTTTAGAAGGCAGCACATTTCCTTTGGCAGATGTAAAAAAAAATATAGAGAGAGAGATTTTTTCAAAAGTAATGTAATATTTTGCCTCTCTAAATGACTTTAGCCGGAATCACAAGATTGCTCTTTGGATATGAAAGGTGGCTGAACTCTGTTTTAGACAGTGTGTTTCTCCTAAGGAAATAATACTGCTGCACATCAGTATTGATTAGAAAATGTCCTACTGTATAAGAAAAATTTTTTTTACACACAATGCCGCATCCCAACCACATTTTACCATTTCTTTACCTATATTGGGAAACTAGTGAACCAGACTGTCAAAGATGATGCTTTCAACATTTAGGCAGATTATCCTCAGGAACCTGGCTTTTTGAGACCATATGCCTTCATTCTTTAAAGGCAGGAAAGAGAATTCTGTGGTGGGAGATATGTCCAACTGCTGTTTGTGTATTTGAATCATGCGCATGCAGCAGTTCCCCTTCCTTTGCAAACGTTCTCTACACTGGAAACACCTCCGCCGGTAATTTTGTATTTCACCTAGAGAGGCAGCGTGAGTAGAGTTTCAGGATGCACCTAATCAGCAGGAAATCTCCAGAAGGAGAAGGGGTCTCTGCCGGCATTATCACAGCAAGTTATTTTTACAATTTGTTAGTGTGTTCTTGCTGCTGCTGCTACAAATTACTTTGGGATTTCAAAATACGGACTCCTTTGTTGTCATCGTCTAAATTTACACGTTTTCGACCGTACATGTTTCATAATTTGAAAAAGCAGTTCTTACTACAGATGAACGCATTTTACCTGTCCAGGAGAAGTTTTGCGACCAAAGCATCTGTTTTCAGACCTTTTTGATCCTTAAGAGAACACCATCTCTGAAAAAAGTCTCCTAAAAACACACTGTCTGTTCTCTCCCACTTTCTTTCCTCTTTTCAACTACATTGAAAAAAAGGCTTTCTTTTCCGGTTAGGTTTGTCAGGATTCTTTTTGGCCATTGATGGTTTACACAAACAAATAGCTTAAAAGAAGCTGCTGCAGCAAACAAGCATGGGAGTACTTCTACCTGCTTCGGGATAATGGTGGAGCCCTAGCCAAACAGAGTATGAGTAACGTTTGGGGTCTACGTAAAAATGTCATGGCAACATGTAAGCAAAATGTTTGATTGACAAACAAGTAGTTTATGGATTTTGGGTGCAAGAATGCCACCCATTAATTAATTCATTTTAGATGAATCTGGACATTTATATTCTGAGAAAAATCCTCTTTAATACCTTTAAACCAGGTCCCAAAGTGGAAAAAAGTCTAAACTCCTGTTTTGTGTTTCTGTGTGTAGATACAATATTTTCCTAAACAGCAAAATCCTTGGTTTATATCTGCCTTTCCTCTCTGTGACTCAACATGCTGCCATTTTTCCACATTAACCTCCAATGAGATTTATTTGCATGCCTGGTGTTTTATTCTTAAATTCAGGTGTTTTATGTTTATCTACATATATATAGTTAGGTTATTATTTATTTCTTATGTTTTTATTGTTTGTATTTTTTTAATTATACGCAGCTGTACCATGTTGCTAATTTGTTAAATTACATAAACCCAGAAAAAGAAATATCAGATAAAACTTGGATGGCTACCATGTTGAATTCTTTGATGGTTCCTTTAATTATTAAGGATGAGCTTTTACTGATTTCTATAATAGATTTAGGAAGTGCTGTTAAGTTTGGCTGTGGAACAGCATCTATGAATGATGTTGATGAAGCTTTTTCAATCAAATTCTAGGAATCGTGCAGCTTTGATGTGTTAGTGAGACTAGTTGAAGTACATTTATCAAACCTTTTTTTTTCCAATTTTAAATGACTGTATTGTATCAAAAGTTTATATATAATAAAATTAGAATGACGTTTGATCGTTTATAGCGGTTAGAAGCATTTCTGAAATCACTAGTGGATTTACGGCCAAATGTCAAAGATAAGAGGAGTTGAGATGATTTTATTGTCTTTCAGCTCAACTGAATTTCCAGTGTGACAGTGATCCGTCCCTCTGGACCGGGAGCTTGATCATTCAGGTCCAACAGAGCTGTCTGTTTCAGTTGCTACACAAGCTGCTCCTTGGGGGCAGGAGTCAGGAAGGTGGATTTCACATTGTCTCACTGTCACCACAGACAGATAAAAGACTACAGCTCAGCTCAGTTTGCAGTTACAGATGCACTCAGTGTATTGAGGTTTATGGCCAACTTAAAGGTATATAGGACGATCTTTTATTTCCGGGTGGATCATCTAAATAAGTGGGCCTCCTAATTGTCAATCATT